GAAAGGTTTGGAGGATGAGAAGGAGATGAATCCATGCAGCACTACCGAATTCAGGCTGCCACAGTACCCCCTCTGAGACCGGAGGGCGGCGTTAAACAACTTCGAAGGATATGCTAAAGCCTAGAAGAAATGAAACTCTAATCTATCGGAGAAGTGGACGTGCCGTCTACTGTGACTGATGTAAGCGGGAGGAATATTGGCGGAGGGCTGCGTGGTTGTTACGGTTGTGGAAGGTGACGTAGTAGCTGGGTGTTGGGAAACCGAAGGGAGGGGAACTATACGGATTCTGTGATTGAGAGGATGGAAGGGGAAGGAGCACGAAATGGAGGAACATGAAGTAGGAAATCAGCACACGTTTGTCCTGGTGGCAGGTCCCATGGCTCCTCCGTGACAGCAGCCTTGACCCGATCGATGTTGACAGCGTTCTTCTTGTCTCCACGAAGGATCTGGCAGGTCTTGTCATTGCGGGAGAGAACACGGAACTGTTCTTCGTACGATGGCTCCAGGTGTTTCCGCACCCGGTCGCAGCGTACAAACACAGGGTTGCAGTGGGCCATGCCTTTCTCGACATAAGGCTCGGTCACTGGAGTACGAGGCTGGACAGGAGAAAAAAGAGCATTTTGCAGGTGTCCTTTTGGGATCAAGAGGAATTGGATTGACCATCGCGCGGGCAAACGGAGAGTTGTGGAAAAAACACCAGCTCGGCCACGCTGCAATCCAGGTCCGACTTCAGTGCCGAGCGGATTCCGAGGAAGATCAGGGGTAGGTTGTCTGACCAGTTGCCTGAGTCTTCTGCAGCTCGCAAGCCAGCCTTGAGTTGCCAATAAAACATTTCCACCACACTATTAGCAGCGGGGTGGTAGGCTGTCGTCCAGATGAGAATGCAACCAAGGAACTTGAGAAGGATGTTTAAAGGATCAGACTCGAATTGGGCGCCGCGACCAGTGGTAACGGTAGATGGCGCACCAAAATTGGTGACCCAACGACTGACAAAGGCCATGACGATGGTTTCTGTTTGCACGTTCGGCAAAGGGATCGCTTCGGCCAAACGGGTGTAGCGGTCGACACAAGTAAGAAGATGGGTAAAGCCATTGGACGGGGGCAAAGGGCCTACGACATCAAGATGGGCATGGCTGAAGCGGGCGTCGGGGCTGGGAAAATTGCCTGGTAGAGACTTATTGTGGTGTTTACCCTTGCTCCATTGGCAACTCGGGCAGGAGCCGGCCGAAGCTTTGACGTGTATGCCAAGCCAGAAGAACCCTTTCGCGAGGAGCTTTTGTGAGGCTCGAATCCCAAAGTGGGAGAGTCCAGGAAGCGTTTGGAACACAGCTCGACGCCTCAAGGAGGTCAAAAAGGGGCGATGAAAAGGGGTAAACACATAAAAAAGGATGGTAGCAGTCCCGGTTGTGAGGGCAACGTCCGCAAGGTGGAGACCAGAAACAGTGTAGGATACGATGTAGTTTGGCCTGATAATAGAAGATAGAATGTATTCCGACGGTTATAAAAATAGTAGATAAGATAAAGCTTGGAAGGCCAGAGTGTTATGGATTATTTAATTAAATGCAGAAGGGGTAGAATGTGAGTAATAGGTAAGTGACTCCCAGACGAGTGCAGTCCAGTCATGAGCGGGCCGGATTCCAGAGTCGCATTCCGGTTGGTGTAGTCGCCGGGTCTGGATGTTTGCAACCGACACTTAGGTCGCCGGCTCCGAGAATGTCTGAACGTAAGCAGTCACCAGACTAAGTTCCTTTGTGGACTGGCCTTGGGAGGTGGTTGGCCAGTTAGATCAGAAAGATATGTCCGTGAAATTAATCTGCCTTGGACAGGCTTGAGCACGCACATGCTTAGTGGACACGAGTAACAGACATGTAGGGATCACTGCTGCCCGACTCCCTCCTAAATCGTGATGCCACATACGAGGTCACTCAGAGCACAGGGCCTCGCGTGAAGGCAGTTTTCGGCGTGCCTCGAGCCAGGCGCAAACTGACGCGCGAGCGAACGCATGCACAGTGTCTCCCCCATTC